CACGGAATGGCAGGCGCCGGAGCCTCTCAAGAATCCCATCAGCCTGATGGCGCAGCTTGGTCCCAAGGACTGGCTGTTCTTCATCGTCGGATTCTGTGCCTGGACTGCTGATGCTTTCGATTTCCACGCTCTCTCAATTCAGACTGTCAAGCTGTCAAAGTACTACCACCACTCTAAGACTGATATCACGACGGCCATCACCCTGACCTTGCTCCTTCGTTCCGTCGGCGCGGCGTTCTTCGGCCTCGCGGGAGACAAGTTTGGTCGGAAATGGCCCATGGTAATCAACATGATTGTTCTCGGCATTCTTCAGATTGCAACCATCTACAGCGCTACCTTCCAGCAGTTCCTTGCCGTGCGAAGCGTGTTCGGTTTGTTCATGGGCGGCGTCTATGGCAACGCTATTGCCATGGCCCTCGAGAACTGCCCGTAAGTCTAACCCTACACCTCGAATCGGAGTCCCCACACTAATAATCCGCAGGGTGAACGCCAGAGGCCTGATGAGCGGTATCCTCCAACAAGGCTACTCTCTCGGCTACGTCCTTGCTGCTTGTGCTAACCTTGGCGTCGGCGGTGAGGTCGAGACGTGGAAGACCGTTTTTTGGATTGGTGCCGGAATCTCAATTGCCGTGGGGATTGTACGTATCTTCTTCCCGGAGTCCAAGCAGTTCATCGAAGCCCGGAAAGCTGGCAAGAAGGCGAAGGCTCCCGGCGTATTCTGGCATGAGACGAAGCGTATGCTTGCCCAAGAGTGGCGGATGTGCATTTACTGCATTTTCTTGATGACATGGGTATGCTGCTCCCTTGTACCATTGAGTCGTTCAACTTCGAGCTAATGGACGTCTAGTTCAACTACTACGCTCACACCAGCCAAGACAGTTACACGACCTTCATGCTCACCCAGAAACATCTTTCCAATTCACCTGCCACGCGTGCCTCCATTCTCATGAAGACTGGCGCCTGTGTCGGTGGAACCATCATCGGCTACCTGTCACAGTTTTTTGGGCGTCGTCGTGCTATTATCGTCTCGGCCATCATGTCTGCGATCATGATACCTGCTTGGATCCTTCCGGAGGGTGAACGCGGCCTCTCTGCTTCGGGTTTCTTCATCCAATTCTTCGTGCAGGGTGCTTGGGGTGTCATTCCCATCCACCTCAACGAACTCTCCCCACCAGCTTTCCGATCAAGTTTCCCGGGTATCACGTATCAGATCGGCAACATGATTTCCTCGCCATCTGCTCAGATCGTAAATGCGATCGCAGAGAACACCATGATCACAACCTCAAAGGGTGAGCAGGCTCCTGCCTATGGGCCAACTATGGGAATTGCGACTGCCATCATTGCGATGGGTATTGCTGTGACGACTGCTTTTGGACCGGAGAAGAGGGGACGACACTTCGAGACCGTTGGTCCACCAGGCGCTGGAATCGTCGTCAAGGACATCGAGGAAGGTACCTTCAATGAGAACGACAAGAGAGATGTGCCTGCACATGTCGAAATCGCCAATGAGAAGGTCGAAGAGAAAAGTTAAATGTTGGGTGTTACGACACACACTCTTGCGCCTCTAGTTGCATGGTCATATAGACAGGATGGCCATTAATGCATGAACCTCAAAGGCTATCCTGGGCAGAGAGTTCGGAATTTTCATAATATCTAGGATACACATGGGTTCTCAAAATGGCGAATAATACACGATCACCTTTCACTCCTCCTGGTCCACGACTTCACGTGCACTGCCGTATTTGTTTAATCACCGGGATACTGATTTAAGCCTAGTTTTCTCGGCGCGATCCGCGGTCAAACCAGAATTAACTCATAGCTCGAACCCTCACCATCGACCTCTCTCGCTTTCGCTTTCTCTTTCTATCCATCCCATTTTGTGCAACATCAGTGAATTTTATGTAGCACGTTCTAGAGACCTTACGCAGGATCTCTGTTGTACGTATTTCGACAACAGTTCCACGATTGACAAAATTGAAGTACGTCTCCGCCAAGCAGTCTCGAACATTTAGCTGCATCTAACAAAAAGCAGAAAACCACGCTCCTCTACTACCCCACCTCTGGAACCCTTTCTCCCAGTTCTTCTCACCACGTCCCAACAGAGTGGAACACTACCCTCCAGCAACATTCTGCAACTTCTTCTAGCACCCTGGCGTACCACTTACCGGCTTGTCTTCCTCCCTATCTAATTACGCAATTTCGAGAACGCTGATACGCTCCTCATGTCGACCGAATCGACTGACGCTGCTTCGACCAGCACACAGAATACCCAATACGATAAAATTGGAACAAAGTACAAGTTGATGCACGAGCTCCCGGCGATTCAACCGGAGAGGCCTAGTGTGCTCGCTGCTCTTAGTGATATCAAGGGTACACGATGTCTAGGTACAGCTTCCTCTTCAGATTCATTCCCTATACCCAATTTGGAAACACGTGATATAATCTCTCGTTTCTCATCACCAAGATCTCCCCCTCGATAGCGATGTCTTCATAACTTACGCTGACAACCACCAGATCTCGCGTGCGGCACAGGCCGCTACTCGCACCTCATGCTCACGATCGGCGCCGCCAGCGTAACCGGGTACGACATCTCGTCTTTTATGATCGACGGCGCGCGAGCCTCATACCCATCTTCCGAATACCCGAATCTCACCTTCGAAGTCGCAGATTGCAGCAAACCACTCCCGGCATCCAACCCCTACGACATCATCTTCGCAGGCTGGTTCCTGAACTACGCGGGCACGCAATCCGAATTGGTCTCCATGTTCCGCAACATCTCCTCAAATCTCTCCCCCTCCGGCCGCTTTGTCGGCATCACGACAAACGTCCACGATAAGCTTATGCATACCCCGAAAATAGATTTTTATGGCTTGGATGTTCTGGTTTTGGATGAGGCGTATAAAGAGCCAGGAGAAGAAGAGGTGTTAGGCATCAAGGCGAGAGTGGTGGCACACACTGAGCAGCCAATCCAATTCGATGTTTTTCAGTTTAGGAAGGAGGTTTACGAGCGGTGCGCGAGGGAGGCGGGGTTGGTGTTAAGCTGGAGAGATGTAGTGGTGCCGGATGATGAGAGGAAAGGGAGCGGGTATTGGGAGAGGTGGCTGGATAGACCGACTTTCGTTATCGTGGAGGCGAGGAATGTTTAGTAGATAAGGGGAGGGAAGGAGGAGGGTGATGCTGGAGTATGCCGGGGATTTTAACTGGACAGCAACCTTTTCTTTGGGTGAGTGTGTCGGGTCTTGCAAAGCGTCCTGTAGCTGTTATTGTGCGCAGTGGAGCACCGGGGTAAAGGTGTTGGAGGTGATGTATTTTGAAGTGCCCCGGCGGGGCTGCTACCGACAATGTACGACGAATATCAGTTACATCTAATGCCATCAGCACCAACCCAGACTTTTTGGATTTCCGCTGAATCCATCATCCCCACGAATCCCCACAAACCCGAGCTAACAGGCACCCATGGTGAATTTAGTCTTAAAAAAAAAAAAAAAAAAATAAAGGGAGGAGGCGGCTAGGCCGTACCCGATATGATGCGTGAGACTGGTTGGAAGTTAATTTGTGGCTGCTCAAAAAGCGGGAGATGGAGCTGGGGTTCGAAAATCCTTAAGCTATAGCGATATGGAGTGTCAAAGCAGTTGGGGTCTCGGCTGATGGTCTGACTAAAGCGGGAGATGAGTTTAGGTATGGGGATGGAAAAGGCCCAAAAGGGCTTTTAAGAATAAATCATAGCCAAAATTATGTCTCATGAAGAAAAGCCAAAATCATGCGTCTCTCATTAGGGCCCAAAATCATCTATTTCTCAGGCTTTTGTTGATGGTTTTTTGGGAGGAATATCATTTTGACTTTCGTTCTTGAGGGAAGGATGACGGGAAAATGCCTAAGCGGGCTTTAAAAATGGGAATATGCCCACACATGTCAAAAATTCATATTACTGTGAACCTATTACCTCTTCCTCTCATGTTTTCTATATAAACTCCCTCTCTCACTACTTCTATCTTATTCTCTCCACACCAACGTCCCTACTCAAGTCTTCAAAACGCACATTATTGCAAACAATGGCTGGAATTGAACTTCGGAATAATTCAAATATGAACCAGTTACTCTTAGATCTAAGCCAGTTTTAACACGTAGGATTCTGCTCGTTGTTGAGAGCTGGGTATTAAAATTTGACTCTGCATGACTTTATGCTCCGGGAATTAGAAAATCTCATAGCCGCTTGAGCTATGGAATCTTGATTTATGCAGAGTCGGCTCAAAAACACAAGTCGTTCATTTCCCTGGATGTTTAAAATAGTTTGATATATGGAACTTATGATGTTTGTTGAGACTGGACGTCTATGAGCCTCAATAAATCCCACCTCGACTCCTCAAGCTTATTGGACATCATATAAAAACACCCTTTCTCCTTCCTATCTTCCTCTCTGCATGACACACGCGAAATATTTTCTTTTTAAAAAAAATTGGCGGTCATTCCAAGCAATGGCTGGACTAAAGAACTCCCCACTATTTCAAGACCGATCTAGACATTCCCAAAACTTGAAGCCATCCAGCCCCATGCGGTTCTGGTTGCACGAGAGTAGCATTGTATCCAAACAAGCCCGACACACCTTCACAACTCTGTTACTCAAAAAATCAAGGCGCTCCTTCCCGAAGGCCAGAGTTGCTAACAATCAATTCTGTAGCAATTAATTGATTGATTGATTGGTTATGTAAGCAATCAATCAATCCAATTCTTGAGGCTGATTTTTAGCAATCAATTCAATTTTGATGCCGTAAATTGATTGATTGATTGTTTATTAATTAATTATTTTTGAAGCTGCAGAAGTAGGCGTACAGGCGACTTGACGATAGTTTTTTGGTGTTAATTCTTGCACTGAGGCTTAACGCACATACCTTAGATACCAAATTAGTACTAGCGCTCCATACACATTTTTTTCTCCTAGCGTTACCTTAATAACCCTACATTCTTTCAGCCAACGATATGCCACCTAAATCGACGTCAACAAAGCGTAAACGCGCCGCTGAATCGCAGTCAGATACTCAGTTTACCTTTAAGCAAGAGCTTAGGGATATTGCCGCTGAAAACCTTGTCCCCCCTGCCGCCTCAGTTGATGCACCTACATCTGACGGAAACCCACCAACTAAAGAAGATATAGAGGATGATAGCCTATATGAGGACAATTTTGATGGTATTGACTAGAGTTAATTACCAGAGTTTATAAAGCCGCTTACTACATTAAAGTGAAAGCTAAGCTGGGTTTTCAGCTATAGCTATCAGGTCGCGCTTTGCCGAAATCCTTAGAAGATTTTCTTCATATGTAAGTACTGCCATCAACACAAAATTATTAACACAGGAGGAAAGGGTAAGTATGATGTTACATCACAAACATCTACTACTACGTAATACTTGATGGAGAATAAGAAGAGCTATAATCTTCATCTAAGTGGTAAGAGGGCCTATAGCCTTCCAGCTAGCCAACAGACTCTCTAGGGGTTAACTATATAGGGTGTTGATATCCCTCAGGAAATCAGCAACGCCCTAGGTAACTTCAATATTTAGTACTTTCAATTAAAAGCTATTAATTAGCTGGTTGAAAATAATTATCCTTTACATAAATTTAAATCGCTAGCTTTTAAAATGATGATAGATGCTGCAAATCCTGAAGCAGCTTCTGCTCTATAGGCTAATCACTAATTAGTAACTTGTTATATTCTTACCTTATATAACGCCTTTCTCCTAATCGTTTGAAGCTACATCGCGAAGGCTCTCTTAAAAATACACATAACATTTAATGGCTGGACCGTAAAGGGTGGTAAGAAGGCTTTTTATGGAATACACATACATTACCTTAATAAGAAAGGTAAGATTAATGAGTACCTGATTTCGCTGCCCTAGTTATTAGGTAGACATACTGGAGTCAGGATTAGAGACGCAGTACATCAGACCCTACAGAAATTCAGGATTAATGAAACATGAGTTAGATTTTTTGTACTAAATAATGCAGAGCTAAATATAACTGCTATTCAGCACCTTAGAGAGCTTTATAGTTTTAACCTAAAACACCAACAATTACAATGTAGTCCCCATACAGTTAATATTATTAGGTAAATAATTATATACAGAGTTAATAAAGAGGCCTTTAAGAATAATATATTGAATCTTGTAGAAGAACTATAGCTTCTTAAGGAATAGTAATAAGAAGGCCCTCTTAGTAAGCTTATAGACATACTTAACTATATCTATATACCTTAGTAATATGACTTAATTAGAGAGTTCTAGCAGGAGGACGCTAAGTAATTATCTAAAGAGGTTTTTAATAAAAAAACGTTTAAACCTCTATTAATTGTTAAGCTAGTACCTACCTACTGGAATTCCTTCTGCGTAGTCTTCAAGCAAGCTTTAGAGATTACCTCATTAATTAACTTATATATGTAATATCATATTAAGAGTCATAAGAAAGAGACTGCCTTACGTTATGTAAAAGGATCTAAAGCGAAGAAGCCTACAGTATCTTTATAGATGAAAGGTAATAGACTTTCAGCAGCAGATTAAGCAGTAATTACTGACTACATTCACATCTTAAAGCCGTTGAAGGATGCGACTCAGAGACTTGAAGGTAGGGGGAAATCTAGCTAATTCAGCGTAATATATGAAATTATCCCTATATTTAAATACATCCTACGCTCGTACGAAGCAATGGTTGAAGACCTTACTAATGTTAATTATAATAAGCCAGATATGCTAGAAGATCACCAGGAGTATAATATTAAGGCTGCTTAAAAGAAGCTTTAAAAGTACTATTTAAAGCTTAATAATTTGCCAGCTTACTACGCCGCGACTATTCTGTATTTGTACTACAAGTTTTACTGTGACAACTCTTAGCGGAAATACTAGGTTTAGCTTGATAATAATAAGACAGCCTTTATTAAGCTTTAGGCTACGTACAAAGGCGATCCAGATCCAGTAACTTCTCCAAGGAAAAGGGTAGCAGTTTCTGATATGCAGGACCAAATTAAGCAGCTTGCAAATCCCTAGAAGAACTCTATTGATGACAAGGACCTTGATGAGTTCGCGTGCTAGAAGAGAGATAAGCCAAATCTACTCTAAGATTACCCACATTTGATTAATCTGTTTGCCTATTGGATGTCCCTACGTATGACTTACCCCCAGCTCTCAAAAATGGCCTTTAATATCCTATTAATTCCGGCCTCAAGCTGCGATTGCGAGCGCATGTTTTTAGAGCTTGGTGATATATTAGAGCCACAGCAGAGGAAGCTATCTGTATATCTAATTACAGTAATTTAATGCGTACGGGCGTGGAGGAAGCATGGATTCAGGCATACGTACATCTACAAGGCTTGTATTACATATAACTAACGACTATAGGGCCCAATGAGATTGTACTACCCCGGGAGCTGTTAAACGACGCCCTTAATACAATATACAAGCTTACTGAGTGGGATTTAGAAGACTCAGAGCTGTAAACAGTCTCTACGCGATGCCCTGGCAAAAAAAAGTGTATTAGTAAGCTACATACAATCAATCAATCAATTCTCAATCCAATTTGACCCTACAAGGCCTATCAATCAATCAATCCAATTTACGACTTCAAAAATTGGCAATCAATTCAATCCTAGAGGGTTTTGATTGATTGATTGATTGTTAGCAACTGTGCCGAAGGCTAATAGCCGCGTTTCTGGAATTTCCTTACCAGCATAGTAATAATCCTCGTCAATTGAATGAAGTTGATAGAAGTTATGAATTTACTAGACCAGACGTTACATAACCATATTCCCGCAATCCCACTACCCCCCTTCCCCCAGTTCCTTATATAAGCCCATCCAACACCACTTCGGTTTTCTTCTCTGCACTGCGCCAGAACTGCAATTCTTCCAAAAAGACGACATTGTCTTTGTATAATTGGACTGGAAACTTGTGCCAGGTTCTTATATGGGTCTGGGACTTTCTAAAATGACGCGAGGAGAGTGACATGGGTAGTCTAGCATCGAGCTTTTGACATTAAAATCTGGTCAATTTCAGGCTATAGATTGCGATTTCAAATAAGAACACGAATCGTATAAAATTCTGGTCCAGGGTTGAGAACTAGGTATGAAAAACTCGCAAAGTATCTTGGAATGGAGCCGGGACTGTTCAATAAGAGATCAGAGCTAATAATGAGGTTGCTCTCCTTCGAGAGCACAGGTGCTTCGATATGGAACTAAGAGTCTGAGAAGCCCACATAGTCCTCGAGTGGAGCTGCAGGCGTATTGCGAGCGATGGTACGCTATGAATCAGGCTGGGGTGGAAAGTGTGGAGTTATCCAGAATAGGCTGGTTTGAGATATAAAGTGGAAAAGGATTGAACTGAAGGAGAGGAGGCGGAAGGTGGCGTTGGAGAAGTAGTCATAGAAGGTAATCATTCCGGTTTTGGAATCGGAATTATGTGCGTATCAAAACCAATTACTGAAATCTTCGACTACCATGAATGAAGTAACTGAACGGAGCTAATAGCTTTCCATACACGTGAAGGTCACTTTAGGATGTACCGTGACCGCAATTTCGCAGTCCCTAAACACCATTCTATCAGCGTTTCACTCAACTATATAACCCAAAAGTTCTTGGACTTCCTTTCGGGAAAGTAGCTAAGGCCACCTTCTTCGTGGTTCCGTGCACCAGGCTTCCTTCGGGAGCTACCTGGGCTCTTTCTCTTTTGCTGCGCTAACCCAAAAACATTTTGCTTGTCACTGGAAGAAAAGTCTATGAGTTCGACTCACAATGTGGAAGGATTGGAGTTCTGCTGTTTTGTCTTCCTTATTTTATACTCGACCTGTGTTTGTATGCTCCTAGTTACAGAGAGTTATTTATTTCCTTTACATCATGAAATATCCAGTTTCCGCGTTTGGGCGCTTCACGATCGTGCTACCCAATCATCCCTTCCAACAACCCACCCATGATCAATTCAGCTCACAGATTTGGGTTCAGCCATGTTACCCAGCAGCACTGGTTGGTACTGCTACCCACACTGCCTGTTTGCAGCTTGGTTGGCACTTACCTGCCTACTTACTCCTTTGTGTATTTAAATCCCTTGATAAGTCTATTAATTCGACGTCACGTCGCTTGTCGGACCCACCTACTCGCTCACAGAAAGTGAGGGCAGTAGAGGCAGGAATTTATACATTCAGAAGCTGGAAAATGAACGAGGGGGTACAGGTGATTACGTAATCACCATAAACACATTTCATCATTTCTCTCGCCATCTTCATGATTTCGTTTCAATCCCTATCCTCTCTCGAGTCCACAACTTAAACCACCGTAAACCATTACCTACGCATTTGTAACTTCATCTAGCCCAAATAATACTCTTGAGTATGTTTTTAAAAGTCCAGACCACCATATTCCATCTGTGCTTAGACTGTCGAGATTTTAAACTTCCCATGACGTAGCATGAATTGAAATTTTGGCGTAGCACCCATATAGGGTTATTCGAAGGCGATTAGATTTTTATGTAGGGAGAAATTTCGGGCAGTTTCATCCACTTGCCGGGTAACCCCACTTACCCGGCAAATGGGCGAAAGGGCCTAATATTATTGAACAGAATTTGCGAGATTATCAGGAATATATCTCTCTCTGTCCTCATCCTTCTAGGGACATGTCGCGACAAGTTCAAACACCCCCGGTCTCTAGATTTATTGAACCTGAATTGTGTCTGGTTTGAGCGCGTGGAGAAGGTGCAAAATTAAGAGGATTGGTTTATGTTCATGGAGAGGGGAATGGGAACGACGGGCATACGGATGAAAACGCCAATACTCAGAGAAATATTCCGGACAATTGCTGTAGAAATATGAGTTAACCTCGAGCGGAGCCTTTACCCCTTTGCTGACTCTCCGCTATACTTCTATCCTCCACTACTTAGTCTCCCGCTTTACAATACCTACTAACCGTTTTAGATTTCTTTTTCAATTTTCACAAATGAATACCATCCTCTTGAGCACGTTTTCGAACCAGATCCCAGAAATGAGAGCACCTTGGTTCGTAGGCCGGAAGACTAGCACTTCTAGACTCCCTTCGCTACATATCAAAAATACCAGCCCATGTTTTAACATTTTTTTAACTCTACCATACCATATATAACTGTCGGTATTTTAGTGCACAACACACATATCCTATCCTCTTTTCCAGTCTTCACCGAATCAGTTAAGGGAATGCTGATTTTGAACCAGCAACACCCCACATTGGTGCTGAGACGGATTCTATAGCATAGTTTTCACTTGCGATTGAGGATCGTGAATTTTGAGTTGATGATACAAATTTGGTATTTAGACAAAGGTTGGTGGAGAAAGGAAACGGAGAAGGGAAGTAATATATTCGAGAAGAGAGCAAGTCCATTCACCTCGTTTTCCTATTTTTAAACTGCCCTCTCTATATTGTTCCACCCTATCGAATTTTTGAACCTACAAGGCCCAATGAGGGAGCAGTCCGACTATTTATT